AAAAGAAACATTGACATGCCTAATATTTTGGTGTTGATAATAATTTTTATAAATATTTCTGTTTTTTTTTTTCAAGTTTAATTGGTGAAGTTTATCAATTATCTCAATCAGTTGATAGTCTTACTGGAGAATTACGTGAAGCTGAATCAAATTTAAAAAAACTTCGTGATGATCATCAAATGCTTGTGAAAGAAATTGAAATGAAAAAGAATAGTCTCTATATTGATCAACAAAAAAGTATGGCAATTCGAATGCGTTATCCAAGTGTTCAACGTTTACTTGGTTACAATGCATAAACAAAAAAAAAGAACAAATACGAACTCCATAGATAAACGACTTTTTCTTCTTTTTATCAAAATGTTAATTTCATATGAAAAAAAAAAGAATTCTAATAATAATATATTCACATACATATTTTTATTAATTTAAAGATTATTTCTATTTGTGCTTGATAACGACATTTTTTTTTTCGAACAGTATTACATTTGTTTCTTTTCTTTTTATTGAAGAAGGAGAGAGCTATTTCATCTTCTGATATGTCAATAAAAGAGCAACAGCTATAATAAAATTTATTTAAGTCTTTAAATGCTTCTGTGTATAAAATTTGATATGTTAGAATCATATTGTAAAGTATGCTTTCATTTTACTAATAGATCCTTAGATAACTACTACAATCCTTTGGTCTCAAACTCAGATAAAGGAATGGATTGTCTGATCACCTCTCTTACAACGATTTCTTATTGTTTAATCACCAAACTTAGGTGTTTGATACAGGACACTATAAGGTATATAATGGTATGATATGAGTAATAGATCATTGAAATGTAACATTCTAAATGTCTATCACGCATTCTAATCACCAAATTCAGTGGTCCTATTTTCGACATTTGTATTTAATGAAAATTATTCAATGTTATCGTTTACTTCTATATTGATATCGTTATCTTCATCTTCATAGGCTCTTTCGTAATCCCCCCGTATTCTTTATATTATCATCTGAATTGATGATGATAATGTTTTTCTTTTACGACCAGCACCATGACGAAAACCATCACGACGAGAATCACCACAATCATTGTTAGGGTCAATATCCATTTTTATTACAATTAAGCAATTAAAAACAATTAATTAAATCGCTATTGATAAATGATAACTACTGTGCATAAGTAAATATCCAATCAAAAAAAAAGATCAGAACCACGTAGCACTGATATTAAAAATTCAAAATACTATATGTGTTACTTATGCATAAAATGAGTCATTATTTCTATCTGTTACTAGCAGTCGCTTTTTAAAATGGCATTAATTGTAGCGCGTCACTTTCTCTATATGGCTATAGCCATAATATATAATAAATATTTTCTATTGAATACGAAAAATACAAAAGATCAAACTAAATACCAAAATTTCAATCTCAATTTGAGAGCAAAGCACTGTAATTATAAATTGTTTAATACATTGATTCTATTTCAAGGTAAACTCTTGAAAAATGATAGATTTGACAGTATCTTTATATATTTCATATCTATATAGATTGACATTAAATACATTTTAATCGATGAGAAGTATTAAACACTTGAATATATATATACTATATGAACAAAATGTTTATGATAATTTGATAATAAAACAACATCACAAGTGATCAATATATTATTAAATCACAGTATGCTACAACTTTATTTTATAAGCTTAATTAACCTATTGGTTATTGACAAAAGATAAATAGAATGATACTATCACATCCATATTTTGTTTTCTTACCGCAGGAGTTTACCATGAAACGTAACAATATGATGATATAGAAAATTCATGTTATTTGACATTAGTATTTATTCAGATGCATCTAATAAACATGTATTATGAGTGATTACATGAATTTCAAGCAGTAATTAATATATATATATGTCATCAGTAATCTATGAAAATAATTTCAAAATCAGATGTATTCTTAAGATGTTATATTCATTTGTAGAAAAGAACTTTGTAATTTCTTAGTGTTGAAGTTTTTTTTTTTTGTTACGATATTCTTTGATAGAGAAATAATAATAAAATACACATATTTCGAAAATCTATAAGTATAATTTGAAACCATTCGAAAAATGAATTAAGAAACAAAAGTCATCGATATTACTAGAAGAAAATGACATCAACAAAAAAAGACAATTGTTCTTTTTATTGTTATTGCTGCATTTATTTTTTCTCGTTTACCAAATCAACTTATAGCAATTAATAATCGTAGAAAAAACGAAAGAAAATTACTTTAGATTATTTTTATAAAATCTAAAACATACATTTTATAATCATGCGGTATAATATTTATTTTATAATAACATTTCTTTTTTGTCGATTAAGTTATCGTTAAAAATTCATATGCTCTTGTGATTACTCGACGCTAAAAATGTTTGCCAGTGGCATCTACAACATTTTTATATGTAATCATTAAAAATATTACAATGTATTTTTCATATTGTTCATATCGAGGATAAGTAAACATGATTTTTCGAATAATTTAATATTATAAATATTGAATAATTATATTAAAATATCCAATAAATTCTATATAGAACATAAAACTATTTTATTGTTAAAGCAAGTTCTATGCTTGAGTATTTGCCTTTGGTATTCTTTTTTTTTTCTTTGACCTTTCTGCTTTCTTTTTTTTTTCTTTCTTCTCTCTTGAATTCAGTCTTTCTCTTCCTTTTTTTTTTTCTTCTTTCTTTTGGTGAGCTCATGCTTTCGTTTGCGTATAGCATTATTCTCTTCTTTCAGTCTGGTTTGTTCTTTTGTCTAGATCTTATCGTTTCTCTTACAATATATATTCAAACTCAAATAGTGTTAGTCACTGTTGCATCTACTACCATGTGAATTGACAAAGAGTGTAAACAGCATCCGATGAACGGATGACTATAGTCGAGAATAATTCTTATTTGTTACTATATAGTATAAGATCGTGAACAAAAACAACAAGTAAGCTTTTACATATAGTTATTAATTAAATACGTTGACTTTTTTTTTTTCTTTTTGTTGACTAATAAATGTTTATATGAAAATTCAAATGTATATGTGAACAAAATATTTGTCTAGAATTGTTGAATATGATTTTGATATCTTTTACTACAGCTAATTCAACCATTCTAATTTAATACTCGGAATAAACATCTGAACAAGAATAATATAAAGCTATTTTATATCATAGTTCTATTCAATAGTACTTATCGACTTTTACATTTTTTAGTCATAGCAAACAATATTTTAATCAAGCGTATTAGAAAAAAAGTAACTATGTTGATTATATATAGACATATTCTTCTGTTCTTTAAATCAGAAAAAATAATAATAAAAAATGCAAATAATAATATAACGTTTCGTTAATGTTTTACACGTTTTCAACCAATCATGGTCAGTCTTCATATGTTTTATCAAAATAAAATTGTAATATATAGTGAAAATAAGAACAACCTTCATATATTAATATACTAACAAGATCACTATCTAAATGGATATCTTTAAGACTTACAAGGAAGTTTCCGTAGGACTATAAAAATCATTAAAAAGTTCGAGCCTTCGAAACTAAGTTATCATCATTTTACTGAATTTTTGATTAAGTTTATTGAAAAAAACCAAATTATGATATTTTGATCTAAAACTTTATTCGTAAATAGGTCAAATGATTGGTAGAATATTTTGAAAGTGTTCGATGAAAAAGAATGTTTCTCTGATAAGATAATGAATTCCAAATAAAAACTACTAGGTGGATAAAAATATTATTCCAGGGGGGTAACGCTATGATTTCAAATAGCAATCATAACAAATTTTATACCAAATTAAAGCGCGTCGAAAATGGAGCTTTTTCATCCTAAATTGTAAGAGTTATCAAAACTTTTTCATGTCGAACTTAAGAAATTTTACATTTTTTTTTGGGATAGGAAACTAAGACGTCACTAATTCAAAAATGGATTTTAGTATTTTCTTTTGATATTTTTACATGGTTCGATAGAGCTTGTCGAGCTCTACAAAACTGTATATATTAAAAAATTTTTTGAGCTAGTTTTCTAAGATAAAGAAACTCAAAAGACCACTTGGAAAATGCTAAAAAATGTTCAAAAAACTCATTTTTTTTTCATTTGAGAGAAAAATACTCGGTTTTTCAATAAAAATAGCTTTTTTTCATTATTTTCACTAACAGAGACCTTTCAAAATGTAACCACCAGACACAGCGTGAACAACTGCGTCTATTGATTACATTTTGAAACGTCTCTGTTAGTGAAAATAATGAAAAAAAGCTATTTTTATTGAAAAATCGAGTATTTTTCTCTCAAATGAAAAAAAAAATGAGTTTTTTAACATTTTTAAGCATTTTCCAAGTGGTTATTGATTTTTTTATCTTAGAAAACTAGCTTCAAAAATTTTTTAATATATACAGTTTTGTAGAGCTCGACAAGCTCTATCGAACCATGTAAAAATATCAAAAGAAAATACTAAAATCCATTTTTGAATTACTAACGTCTTAGTTTCCTATCCCAAAAAAAATGTAAAATTTCTTAAGTTCGACATGAAAAAGTTTTGATAACTCTTACAATTTAGGATGAAAAAAGTCCATTTTCGACGCGCTTTAATTTGGTATAAAATTTGTTATGATTGCTATTTGAAATCATAGCGTTATCCCCCTGGAATAATATTTTTACCCACCTAGTTGTCGTTTATCACAACAAAAAAAAGAAGTTTGCTTTGAAATTCAATATGTTAATGAGAGGACATTCTTTTTGGCTGATTTAATCTATTTACAGGTAAAATTTTATATCGATATTTGATTTTTCAGTAAGTGCTACGTCGAAAATTCATTAAAATGGTCATCATTCAGTTTCAAAAGCGCATAGATTCGGAAATCTTCTTAGTCTTATCGAAATTTCTTTATAAATTATCTAATATTTTTATTGTTTTCTAGACAATATTATAATATATAATATTTTTATTTTATATTTGATAGGCGCATTAAAATGGAATATCAAAAAATTTTTAAATATTTTTGTTTATTTATTCTATGTACATTTTTATGTTATTTATTAATTACAAATGATTATTCTCATATATTATATTCATTAAAAATGCCTTTTATTACTTCAAACAATACTAATAATTCATTAATAAAAAATTTTTTAATAATAAATCAAACAAATAATTCAATAGTAGAATTATCATCTATAATTATAAAAAAAGAATTTGAAAATCGTCTTTCTGATTATTATCCTCAATTACCTATTCATATTTTTACACAAAATATATCACTCATAGGCAATACAAGTAAACTTATTTTATTAGGTAATGGATTTTTTGGTGGTCGAGATTGGGGTATTGCTTCAGCAAGTCAATCATCAACACAAAAAAGTAATTAAAAAACAAAAAAATTCTTATATATACATATATATATGTCGTATCGAAGTTATTTTTAATTCATTATTTATTAAACTGAGTATTCTACTATTGAATATATGATCAAAAAATAAAATTTTTACTAATAAATATTAATTTTTTGTGATAATATTGTGAAATCAATGAATATTTATTAGTAAAAATTTTATTTTTTTGATCATATATTCAATAGTAGAATACTCAGTTTAATAAATTATTTTAGTGATAAGTGAATTAAAAATAACTTCAATACGACATATATATATATATATATGCATTTCATTAATCAAATTGATTTATTTTTTTGTTTTAGTGACTTCACTCTATTGTCCATTTTTATCTAATTATTGTGATATAACAACTGATTATAATCGTTTTTCTGAAGCAGATGCTATTGTTTATCATATACGTGATCATATTGATCAAAAGCAAGCTAAAGAAAAACGTCATCCTAAACAACGTTTTGTATTTGCTTTATGGGAATCACCAGCTCATACACCTAATTTACATTCTTTTAATCAATTTTTTAATTGGACAATGACTTATCGTTTTAATTCTCATATAATAACATCATATTATTCTGGTAATCCATATATTCATATATTAAGTTCATATTATCAATTAATGTTAAATGAAAATTCTACACGTAAACTTAATTTAAACATAAAAACAGTTGATCATCAACCATCCGATGAAATATTACAAAAGAAAAAATTAGGTATAGCTGCTGCTTTAATATCAAATTGTGGTGGTAGTAGTCAACGATTAAGATTTATTAAAGAATTAAAACGTTATATTGATGTTCGAATATATGGACGATGTGGAGAAGGATGTCCTGGAAATATTCATTGTAGAAAATTTATAGCTGAAAATTATTATTTTATTCTTAGTTTTGAAAATAGTCTTTGTTTAGATTATACAAGTAAGTAAAATTACATCGAAAAATCAAAATAAGAGGAATAAAAAAAAAAAATTTAATATTCTATTATTTTTTAACATGATTGAATAGAACTTTCAAAAACTGAACGTTCTATTTCAAAAAAAATGCGTATGATCACATTATCCAATTAATATCAAATGTATATTTGTACGAGTTATTCATAAAAGAGATTTCTCTAAAATAGAAAATATATTCGGCTAATTTCCATGTTGAGCATTGATTAAAAAGTCTCCTAGCTTTTGCATTTTTTTTGTCTCTAGAAATTTAGAAACATTTTTATCACAGAACAATGTATTCATAATTACAAAATAACATACCTTCAGGCGTACTCATCGGGATTTTTTCTATGAAGTATACTTTTTCAGAGTGAGAATGTAGTTCTTTTCACAAAAAAAGGGGTCTATAGGCATTTTTCGTTAAACTATCCGTTCGTAGAGAACCATATTCATTAAAATTTAGCTGAGAACTAATAAAGAGGACCTAGTTTTTTTTTCAAATTCATACGAACTTCTTTTTCTTTTATCCGACGGGTTCGAATAATGTGTAAAAGCAAGACACTAGATTGATTTTCTAAAACAACAAATCATTGTATTGACTAATCGTTCGAAATGTTAAACTTTCTTAGACAAAAAAAAAAAAGTTTTTGAAAGTATTATTCATGATCAATCTGATGGATTCTATCCGATCATGTAAAAATATTAATATTTCATCATTGTTTTTTTTTTTACTTTAGATTTTACTAGAAAAATAAAATAAGAATTTTCTTTTTTTTTTATAGCTGAGAAATTTTTTGCTGCACTTGAACTTTCAGTTGTACCGGTTGTATTAGGACGAACAAATTATTCTTATTTTATTCCATCATCTGGATATATTGATGCACGTCAATTTTCTACAATGAAATCATTAGCTCAATATCTTAATGAAACTCGTTATAATAAAGAAAAATATTTATCATATTTTTCATGGAAAAAAGATTATGTTTGGGGTTTACATCAATTTTTTACTCCATTTTGTGATCTTTGTTTACGTCTTCATCTTGATTCAAAACCAAATATAATTGATAATATACATAAATGGTGGTTTGATAATAGTTGTCAAGGAGCACATATACCTCCTTGATCAATCGAACACTTTTATATTGTTTCTTTTACTTTTTAGCCAGTAATAATCTTTTTTTTTTGTTATGAGAATGTTAATTAAAAGTGAGAATTTCGATTTATGTTATTTTTATTATATGCAATAAAATAATTTGTGATAATATTCCATATGAATAAAATATTTGTATATTATTGAATTTTAATCTATACTAATTTTGAATGATAAAGAAATATAATATTAATAAAAATAGAAATAATATTGTCTTGTCTAGTGAGAACAAAAAAATAAAATATGTATAAACAATATTTATTAATTAATTATATAATAATTTTCGAAAATAAGAGAGTTTTGTTTTTCTCAATTATTAAAATAATAATACAGCTTATCTACGGTAATATGACACTTTGTTAATCAAGTTTTTGAAAAATTTTTTGAATGCATTAGTCGATGTAATTCATCATGCTAATTATGATTTTGATATTTGTCCTTTAACACAAAAAAAAACTGGATGACAATGTTATCCTTATTTGTCGCATTCGTTTTTTTTTATCATAATAGAAAAATTTAGAGAAAATCTATTTTTATCAATTAAAAATTCATTCGATACTCTAAAAAACTGATCCCAGAAGTGTTTCGCGATGATAAACTCTTCATAAAGACTGAGGCTTCATCCAAAAAACAAAATTATTCTTATAACATAGATAGAGTGTGATAAGTTGCATCGAATGGCATTTCAATGAAGTTTGTAACTCTCAAAAATTCTGAGATTTTTCATCTCGAACCATTTTTGAGATTTAATATTCGTAGACTATAAAATTTTAATTTCCGACGAACTCGAATGATCAACATATTTTCTACACATCCTTTTACTAATACGAACTATTAACAAAAAGTAAATTGTAATTTAATTATTATATTCGTATTTTAATCAATTAAAAAGTATCGAATAGTTATAATTGTTTATCTTAATAAAATAAAAATTAAAAATTTGAAATGAATATCAAATAAGAATAATAACATAGAAAAACAACAAAATACACAAATAAAATATTCATCATTTACACATATTCTATTATAAAAACTAAAATAAAAAGTATTAATATGATAATATAGAACAAAGATATTGATAAAATATTTGCATTATTCGATTGAATAAAATTTATATCATCATTTTCGTTTATTGAATTTTCATCATCATATAATTTTTCAGGAAGTTCAGTTGCATTAAAAAATAATTTCCATTTATCTTGAGATATATCTTTAAAAGCTATTTCAAATCGATTATTATTATTTTTACCACCTTGAACAATACGTATAAAAATCATCTTAATTCTATTAGGATATTTTCGAGCAATATTACCATAAATCTAAAATAATATATGTTAAGATTTTTTTTAATTCATTCTTTTTTTTTTTTTTTACTTCTGGATCAAGTTCACCCGAATCACCAACCATAATAAATTGTTGTCTTATTGGAGCATATGTAAAAATATTTTCTATTACAGTTATTTTATGTTTTTGAGATCCATCATGTTCAATAAAATTTATGATACTTTTAATTAGATTAATTTTATCTGAACCAGCCAATTTTAAATGACGCATATCTATAAATCAAAATATTTTTTTTATAATAAAATCTTTTATCTAATCTATTAATCAATATTTTATATACGAAATGAACCACCAGGAAAATTTGCTTTATTAAGAAATGTTTGTGTTGCATAATATAATTGTGAAGGCATTGCACTAACATAATGTATTAAACATTGATGTAAAGATTCCCATGAACGATAAACATCAGACATACCTAGAAGTATTATATTCAAATATATCTTCAATTTATATTTGATTTATAATAATCATAAAAATTATATTAATTATTTGAAATAAAAAAACTTATCTAATTGATCGTCACAAAATCTTTTTCAAACGTAATAATATATCTTCATTTTTAAAAGTGTTTTAAACTAAACTGAACTATCTGTTGATAAAAAAAATTAATTAGATATATTTTCTAGTGCTGAACATCTTGATAAATAATCAAATGATGTGAAAAATTGATCTTATATCAAATGAATGATCTATTCACTCTCGGACAAGCGTTGCAAATAAAGAAAACGACATTTTTTTTTCAACACTTGTCCGATTAATTTTATAAAATTATTTTTAAATGAATAATATTCTAAATAAAAATAATTGATTTCAAAAAAAAAAAACAAAATTTACCTGGTACTGCTTGAAATGGTTTTTTAAATGTATTTATTATTAATTTTGATTTATATGGAACTTCAGATATTTTAATAGTATCATCAATATCAGAAATAATCGAACATCCAATAGAATTTTTATTTTTCATTAAATAAATAATACCTTCATATCCTATTTCTTGATTATTATTATCAAAAGCAATATATGTTAATGATTGTCTTTGTATATTTAATCCATTTAATGAATTAACAATAATATTTTTATGAAAACGACCATTTTTATCAGTTATTATTATTTCAGATATTGAATCACTTAATTTTAATTGTATTTTATAATTTGTTATATCAATAACAAAAAATGGTTCTATACGTTCTTGTTCAATTTCATCATTTAATATAGGACTATCTTCGAGAAAACCAAGTGCTGTTTGAAGAATATTTTTAATCATATTTTTTATAAAACCTAAAATTAATATTAAAATCTATAATTAATTAAAGTTTAAAAATTATTACCTGAATCTACTGGTTTATAATACCATCCATCTAAGATGAAAGTAAATTTACCAGGATTATTATTCATTTCATAACCAATACTTGGTATAAGCATAAATTTATTTTTAGGTTTTCCACTATTATCAACATCATGATCATTTGTAATAAATGGATTTTTACCTTGAAATAGATGACTTATCTTAATACTATCAACTAAAAATATGATAAAGATTAAACATAATATATAATACATTTTTTTTCTTGTTGTTATTGTATATAAATTCAAATGAATGAAAAGAAAAGAAATTTCGAAAAAAAAAACAAATTACAAAATTATCTTAGCAACCAATTATAAACAATAATTTTTAAGTATTCATAGATTTTATCATATAGAAAATAATCGAGAATTCGAACTGAAACTTTGCTAATTATTTATCATATTGATTCGAACTAGAGAAAAAATGAAACATTTCAATCAAAACAATGTTTTTGATTATATCAATTCTATTTCACATAATCGAAAAAAAAAACACATATACTTAGGCATATGACAAAAGTTCATCTATTTTAGATCTAAACAAGTTCTTCTATAAGTCGATGTAAGGTCTACAACACTAAATTGACGTTCAGTGCAAGTCCTTAGTGTTGATTTCAAATGAATTTACTAAAGTACTTAACAATAATAAGACGATGAATTAAAATTTGATTTCCAAACTGGTGTGGGTGTGGGTGTGGTCACCCACATCCACAAAGGAATATTTCTATATGATATGCACATAATCATTTTTTAAGGATAATTTTTAAAAAATTCTTCAATAAAATCTCTTGATGAATTAATTGATTGATAAAACTAGACATATACATATATTTAAAAAGAAAAAGTTTAACCTGAGCATGATCTTGTTTATGTTGATTGTATTCTTGTTCACTTTTAATTTATTTAATCATAGTACGAAAATTAGGAAATTGATAAATTCTTCTATAATCATATGGTAAATTTTCTTTTAAATTCCATTTTGTTGTTCGAAAACTTTTTTAACCTCGATATCTTTATCAGAACAATAAAATAAAATTAGATAAATAGAAAAACATGAAATACTTTTGAAATCTAACACGAGCCGAAACATCCATTGATGTATCAACTTCATCAGGAAATTATTTATCTAATTTAGTTTCTTTTAATTTTTTTAAATTAAATTAAATATTTGAATTAAAATAAACGTTTGTTTATCTTCTAAATCTGTTTTTTCAGCATAATTATTTCGATTCATAAAAAGTTCATCGATTTCTTCTTCATGTTCTTGTTGATCAAGTTTAATTGATTGTAGATCATCAGCATAATCAGTCATCATTTCTTGATGATCTTCATCAAAATCCTAAAATATTGAAAAAGATTTAATTTCTAAAAAAAACTAAACATTTTGTTGATTGAGAGACTGATTATCTTCATCATCAGAAATAATCCATGCAGTTTGATATTGAGAAGTTCCTTTAAGTACACATTTTTTTAATTGATGTTCAGATTGTTGAATATCTTATCTAGTTGGCCATGTTTGCTCTTGATCGAAATTCATTGGATCTTGTTCAGCTTCAAATGCTAATCATCGTTCAACATTCGGATCAGCTATAAACGTTTTATCAACAATTGATTTTATTATTCCATTAGACTAAAGTATTTCAAATTTTTGATTTATTTTTTAATAAAAAATGATTGATATTACATCTCGTTGAAATCGATGTTGTTCGATTTGTTCTAATTGAAATATGGAGTGGGGTGGGTTGGGTGTGGTTATGAATGAAGGGAAGATTAACATCCACACCCACACCATATGTCCAACACTAACAAGTTTTAACTCATTATTATCTACTAATCGACAACAACATTGACTTGAAGAATCGACTCAACACCTATGAAAAGAAACGTCTTTTTTTTCTCAATTATCTATTCCTTCTCATTATTATGACATATCCCGAAAATATAGTTTGACTGTCAGTTATAAATATTAATTTGATCGATTAATCGTTTGTTTTATTCTCTACATAGAAAGTTTTGTGTACAAATTTAACTAATTATGTAAGCTCAATGAAAAAAACTAAATAATTCATAAAGTTGTTTTTAATTTAAACTAAATTTTATTGATATATTTCATTATTGAAAAGGCTAAAAGAAAACAAAGATAATTATTAGATATGTTGTATGCTTCAAATGCAGTTTTACTATTATTATATTACTGTTTGTCAAAAGAATTCGATTTCTTCTTACTAGACGTGCAGGATCTGCCGCTAAAATGACAAACCTACTTCAGTAGAAAATTCAATTCAAGATTCTTTTGAAAAATTATAAAATTTTTCTCTGAAAATGGAAGATAACAGATACTGCATTATAAATGACTCATTTTTATTTCCTATCTTTCAAGCATTTAACAATTTATTTTAAAACTTTGTCTTTTATGTCAATTAATAGAGAACTTAATTCTCTACAAAAATGTCGACTGTGTTTTTCGAATAGATTTTTCACGTCACAGCAAAGTTGAGTGCGAAAGTGAAAAAATTAAAGAGAGCTTTTAGAAACGGATCTGCTGAAATTTAAAATATGCTACATTAATATTCTATATAAAATTCCACATCTTTTTATGTGTATTCAGTCAAAACTGAGTCATTGTTGTCGACTGATTCAAAGTAACCTTACTGTTTCAGATGTTCAAGCGAATGCATACATCATTTTTTTTCAGAGTTTAATTTTGTATCCAATATGAGGGTGTGGGTGTGAGTGTAGTTCTTATTTTCATTCACACGCACAACCACCCACACCCTTTTTTATTAAAATGAGCTTCGATTTTTAACATTCATTTTACATACTAATCTATAAAATATATCAGCCTTATCTATTTGTTCTCTAATTGAGCAAAGTTTGGAAAGTATTCGTTCAATGTTCCGTGCAAAATTTATTCAAGCTACCAACGATAAGAATTTACATTTTTGTTTAACGA